TTTCATTTTCTCACACTGGAGGGGAACACAGAAACAAACTATTCCTTCCTCTTAACACTAGGAAAGCCAGGTCCCCACCAGAGCCTTGCCAGGGAGCCAGTGTGGGACGGCCACGGGGTCTCAAGACCAGGTCCAGGAGGCCCCTGGAGTGACCTCTGGCCAGTGGCTCAAGACACCCAGCCCACAGTGGCCATTCACGGAGACAGGGCAGGAGGGGCCTGGGGAAGCCAGACACCAGGAGGGGTGAGCGCCGAGACAAAATCCCGGAAGACGGCACGCAGTCTTACCTTTAAAGTCAAATTGGTAGATGTTTTTTAAGGATTCATGAAGAAAATAAAAGCTTCCTAGTGCCTGTAGAGCAAAAAGAGAAATCAAATGAGAGACTGGTGCTAGGAATATTTCTAAAGCATCGTTTTTAACAATAAATAAAAGCTCTTTTAAACTAGCTAGGGCAAGAGTTTAACCAGTTGTAATTTAATCATAATTACTGAGGCACAAGACGTCAAGCGGAGGAAACCTGCGAACACCCAAACTCCACCAAGCTCCAAGCACGCGGTGAGCCGTGCAGCCAGTGCTGGCTCCAGCAGGGGCGCGGGTCCCGCAGGCTGGGCATTGAGTGGACCAGACCCTTCCCAGCACTGATGCTCAGCTTCGTCCCGGGGCCCCCAACCATCAGCTCCACTGCGCCCAGCCCCACCCTGCCCCATCGCTCCAGGAGCCGCCAGTGTCTCCCACTCACAAATTAGCCAGACAGGTGCAGAGCACAGGGGCCCCTGCTCTCCACACCAGAGAAGGCAAAAGTACGGGGCCGGGTGCCACAGGGCTGGGTCAGCGGACACGACACAGACAGTGACTTGTGGATCCGAACTTCAGGCTTCACGTCGTATTTTCTACAGGTGAACCTGTGTCTACGTGCAGCAGTGTGTTCATATTGACGTGTACATTATTTCTGTGTATTTTTTTCTTTTGCTAAATCTGGCAACCCCAACACGGGGCCTGGTGCAACTCTGGGGTGATCAGAATATTCTACACTGGGTTGCAGTGGTTGCCTTTGTCAAAACTCACTAAATTATACCCCAAACAGGGCGAATCTCACCGTCTATACATTAGACCTTTATAAACCTGACTTAACAAACAAATCTATCTCATAGGAGATAGCTGTGTGCCCTGGGCGGGTGGCAGGTGCTGGGACAAAGCAGGGGAGAGTTTGAAGGGGCAGTGCCAGGTGGGCCAGAGAGGATGGCACATGGGCACAGCTGCAGATGGAGGGCAGGGGCTGCCCGCAGGGAGCCCAACTGTGACCATGTCACACAGGACCTCCTGCAGCGAAGAGACTCTTAGCCACTGGGGGCTCTAACCCCAACTCTGCACTCCGAACAGGGCCTGTCCTCAGAGAGCTGAAAGCACAGGGTGCCGTGCATCCCTCACTGTCTCTGTGTGAGCCTGTGGGCAACACAAGGGCAACACCCGAGCATCACCTCATTCTAAGGCTTCACTTGTACACTCGTGCACAGTCATGTCCACACATGCACACCATACACTCGCACACACACTAACGCACTCATACACACTCGTGCAGTCACGTCCACACATGCACACCACACGCTTGCACACACACACTAACGCACTCATACACACT